CATGTTAAAATTTAAGAATATTTTCTAAGTCAATTTTTGACCTTCAAGTGTGACCTTGACCTTAAGCCGGCAAAAGGGTGACATGGGTTCTGCACATAACCTTGTTGAGGTGAACATTTGAGCCAAGATTGAAGAAAATCTTTCAATTAGTGTAGGACTTACAGAGCGGACACGACATACTGTCTAATATTTGATTGTTTGATATTTGACCTTCAATTGTGACCTTGACCTTGAGCTGACACATGGGCAACATGGGTTCTGCACATCCCCTTGTTGAGGTGAACATTTGAGCCAAGTTTGAAGAAAATCTTTCAATTAGTGTAGGACTTACAGAGCGGACACAACATACTGTCTAATATTTGATTGTTTGATATTTGACCTTCAATTGTGACCTTGACCTTGAGCTGACACATGGGCAACATAGGTTCTGCACATCCCCTTGTTGAGGTGAACATTTGAGCCAAGTTTGAAGAAAATCTTTCAATTAGTGTAGGACTTACAGAGCGGACACGACATACTGTCTAATATTTGATTGTTTGATATTTGACCTTCAATTGTGACCTTGACCTTGAGCTGACACATGGGCAACATGGGTTCTGCACATCCCCTTGTTGAGGTGAACATTTGAGCCAAGTTTGAAGAAAATCCTTCAATTGGTATAGGATTTATAGAGCGGACACGAAAATGTAGACGGACCGACAGACGGACACGACAAAGCGAATCCATTATAGCCCCCCCACATTTTGTGGTGGGGGTATAATAAGGGTGGAATCGGTTCTGCATACAGGCCTTTTTCTAGATATTTTGGGAACAACACCTAGGTTAAATTATATTTTGTCCTATGAGATTTTGTCATAAGCTGTAACATATAGGTATTTTCTGCTGTATGACACAAGGAAACAAAGATATATCCAGTAAAAATCAGTTTTAATGGGAAAGATGTAGACCAAATGGTGGCCATTTAGAAAACAGTATTTCATCATTTAAATTGCAGTAAATGGTGTTACACGTCAGTTTTTTCATATTTCAGTTAAAATTTCTACATGTTATTTTGCTTAATTTAAATATTAAAACTAACCTTACTTTGTAACTCAGAATTTATTTGTTCAACAAACAAGAACATTTAGAAAGTGACGATTGTCATAGACATATATATGCACAATTTATGCACAATTTAATGGCCTATTGTTGCCTTTACATGGAATTTGTAAAATGTTCTGCTATACATAAAAATTTAGAGATTTAAAATATTTTGCACAAAACTTTTTGTTTTTTAGTGTTATGAATAAAATATGTAAATTCTGACCAATTTTAACACTGGTCACATGAAAATATGCCCTTACCGTGAAATAAGTGATGATGCAGAATAAGTGATGTTGAGTATATCAGGGGTATGACTAAGTACCAAATATGAATTCATATTCACGAATATGAAGAGAATACCGAATATGAATATTATTTTCATAAAATTTTGGCACAGAGTAAAAAATTAACAAAAACCATAGTAAATATTTACTACTAGAAAAGTGAAAAATAAAGGATTATTTGATAAGTGTTGTTTGCGATGAAATGAAAATGATAAATGAAAATCCTGACACATATTTATTTAGGAATTATGAAAGTACAATTTCTATAAATAGAATTGACATGATTATTTTTAATCTATCAGAAATTAATTCAAGTTTAGTGTGAAATTAGAATGCAGTTTATTCAGTGGATGAAATACAAATATATATGCAGCCCAGAATATGGAAGAGAATACAAACTATGTATATCGTTATAATATAATAAATATATTTGGCATATACATTTGTAAATTCAAACTACTAAAATTTATAAATACTAAATTTTCATATACATGTAGCATGATTTATATTAGTTTAACCCTTTCCCTCATTCATGAGCATATTGTGAAAAATGGCCGTTCTCATTGAAAAGCCTCCTGTTACAAGTTTAAACTGCTATGAAACTATGAAAAATGCTTCAAAACTAATCAAATTTGGCACAACTGTTGACTGGACCATTGCCTTTGTTATGACATGCTTAGTTTACCATGGCAACAAGGGGACATCTCAAAATTGCCAAAAATCACTATTTTATGTTGAGTTTTTCTATCAAAATTGATTTCAAAGTGCTGCAACTTCTCAATGGATTAAGATAGAGTCAAAGGCTTTGCACCGTTGGTTACACATTACCTTATGATAGACCTGGGGTCAGTTTTAGCCTTTCAAAAGTCCAAAATTTTCTTGGCGATGAGGGGGACTACTGCCCCCGTCAAACCCCCCTAACAGAAGGAGCGGCACCGAAAAAGTGATCACTTTTTAAGTAACATTTCCCAAATGAAAAATAGTGTTTGGGGTCTAAATAGGTTAATTTTTCACTGTTTGAGGCCTCAAAAAGGGGGAGGGGTAGAAAAGCCGTCAAAACACGTCTATATGAAGTAAAGGGTTAACTAATTATCACTATGCAAATATAAACCATAACATATGAGTAAGAAATAGTGTCTATTTTTCACTTTTTTTAGATATTTTCTTTCTTTCATTCATTTAAAGACATATGATACATGTACAAGTACGTTTGTAAATGATACACTATAATATATATGTATAATGTAGTCATGGTGTAAATGACATGTCACAAAGGGTATCTTTTCTATTCACTAATACGTTTAATCTGGGACGACAAAAATATTTTTGTCCCAGATTAAACATATTGACCTTTTCGAAAACCTAGCTAAACACCGTTTTCCGGTACATTACGGATTTAGCTCTGGGGAATTACACCAAATGAAGTACATAACACAGTTACATGATATTTCTATTTTTCTATCATTATTTTACCGTTTAAGGTGAAAAAAATGATGTTTTTTGAAAATTATCAATATTCCTTTAATATATATTGCAAATTTTTCAAAAAATAAATTTTTTATAATAAAAATCAATAAAATTAAAACAGACGTAGTGGAATCTTCCATAATAAATAAGGTTATTTTCTGGGTAAACTTGCGTATTTACTTCATTTTTTGTGTTGAATTATTCATACAATGATATTTATTTATTTTCTTATAAAGAAATAACTGTTTTATTTCAATTTTATTTTAAAAAAGGCCGAAAACATCGAGTTCGCTATTACACTCCATCAGGTGAATTCCCCAGAGCTATGTACGGAAAGTACCGGAAAGCGGCGTTTAGCTAGGTTTTCTAATTCGTGAATGATATAAAACAGAATCTTTCTATTTGAAAGACCATGTATAAAACACTGAACTATGTGGCATTAAATAATAATAATTAATAAGCATAAACAGAGACATAGATATGTCTCTGGCAAAAATTTATAATGGAAAATATTACCAAAATTGTTTAAATAGTAATTTTATGTCTGCATATATCAATTGTTCGTTATTAAAAATGATATTAAATAGTACACTTAAACCAAAATTTAAGAAACAAATGTCCATTTCGTAGTCGAAAAGTTCATTTTGCGAAATGGAGTTCATACTACCGGTCAGGAAATAAAACTTGAACATTATATCCCCGTACTGCCTCTTTCCGATCAGCTAACAGATTTTTCAACAATAACTGACAGTGAAATTATATATAAAAAAAATTCTCTTTCAATTCTGCAAATATTATCATTTCAGCTAATAAATGCACCAACTTTTTAAAATTTTACTTGAATTATTACTATGAATCGAGGACAAATCATTACTGACCCATTTTCCTGTTCTTCAAAATTTCACAACCACTTTTCAATCAGTTAACAAAATATAAACTGTACCACATAAAAAATGTCATACAATGTTAAAATATAATTAGTTCTGTATTTTGGAGAAATTTTGACAAACTCAATTTCAGATAAATGTAATAAACAATTTTAACCTAATTATAATGCCGTTTTTCAATCTAGATATTTATTTGCAGTGGTAAAGCTGTCACATTGGGGTATGAATGTACATTTCAATTTGCATAACAGAAAAAGCACGTTCTTGTGCAATTTTTAGGATCTTAGGGTCTATATGACCCCATTCTAGTGACTGCTTACTGAAAAGTTATCACAGAGAATGCTTTTCCTTGGTTAAGTGACTGTTACTTTACTGATGTATTACCTTCAAATTAAGAACTGTATGGTAAAATATGTACATATTAAAATTACAGCTTTTGAAGTGCAGTATACATTATGACTTCATGATATTGAAACAGTTGTCCAACTTAATATCCATTTCTGCAGACTGACAAAAAACTGAGTCTGTATATCAATTATTTTTAGAAAATTATTGCGATTTGACTGTGTAAATAAAGGATTAGCAGGGTGTCCATTTGACCCTTGAAATGACTCTTTGACCCTTCAAATTTCAAAAAGACCTGATTTGACCCTCAGGATTTTAACTGGAGGGTCAAATTTTGTTAAAATCATGGGGATTTGGCCTTGTATCTGGTCAAAATGACCCTCAGGATTTCATGGCTAGTGAACACCCTGGATTAGTGGAAAACACACGTTTTACATATTTTGAACTAAAATGCTAGCATTTTCTTTTTTTATCGCCTAAATTGACATTGCTGCTGATAAATTTAGTCAAGGGGAATACAAGATGTGCTTACAGTTTGGTTACATGACAAATAAGGTCAAAAAAAAAATTCTAGGGGTGATTGAAAAGTGGTTGTGATTGAAAACTGGCAGTGTGTGGATAATTGTTAAGTTTAGGATCGTTCAAATATAATTTGAAAGACACTTATCATGTTGAAACTTCATTTTGTAGCAAAGTTTATGTTTTAAATATCCAACACTGCAAATTTTATATTTTGCTTCAAATACATAGTCGGGAAATTATTAATTAATTGATATTTGACTGTTAAACAGTTGTTTATGTTTGTGTTATGACTACAGTAACAGACTGTTAAAACTATCTGTCATCTCATTAAAACAGATAATTTGCAACGAAAGATGCTTACAAATATATCTTACGCGTTATTCGCGTAGAAATCATTTATGAATCGTATTACCTCTTGAAATATTCTTAAAAATTCTGTTTCTGTTTTGTTGAAATTACTTCCTCTTTCTATCGTCAAAGATATTAACAAAAGTCATCCGATTAATTATCAACCTGGTTCCCAATCATATGGTACTTATTTATAACGATTCGTCCCACAGACAACTCGCTCCATAACGACTCACCCCACATAACTGAGGATTCACCCCATCTTACATCATTTTTTTAAAAAAATTCATTTGGATTGAAAAATATTTATTTTGTTTGGATATTTCTTTTGCATTATATTTGGTATACTTTTCATACATACTATTTGATTTAGAGGTAGAATAAGTAAAATATCAGTTTAACAGAACAGCTACTAATCTCATTTATATATCTTTTACTTAGCTTTTATAGTTATAATTAATAAATTTGATTAATGTTATAAATATATGGATATTTGTTTCATTTACATATAATTATTCGTTAAGTAAAGCAGATTGTAATACATTGTATTATCTAGTATTTTCTATGTATAATTATTCTAACATACATATTTTGTCATTTTCTAAAACTATAGATTTATAGTTATAAAGTAACTGAAGGCCTTAAATAAAAATGATGCAGCATTTAGATGCAAACCTTCAACAGAAAGAACGGAACAACTTATCTCTTTTAATTTTTTTTATTTCAAATGATAATTCATTGATAGATTTTAAATAATTTATATGAATAGTAAAATCAAAGACATTAAAGTGACATTATGCTCATATTTTCATAAATAATTGTCAAGTTGAGCTGAATTGACTTTATATTTCAAAATATTGGCTGTTAAAATGGTGTTTGATCAAAAGTTGATATTTGAAAATGTTCAGGATAAAATTATAAATCTGCCTAAAACATAAAAAGACTGCCCCACTCTTTTTATAAACTGAGCGTTATAGGTAAATTCTAATAGATATTTACAGAAATTTTATTTGGATCTGTGCATTATTTATTGTTTATGAGAAGTAAATTATTGAATTAAAAGGAATTATGACAAAATGAAATCTTATTTTGAAATTCACCTGTATACCCTTGGATGGGCATAATGTCACTAATTACAGGCTAATTACACCAACTTTTAGCGACACAGATAAAAATAATAATAATAATTAACGATGATGATGATGATGATGATGATGATGATGATGATGATAATAATAATAATAATAATAATAATAATGATAATAATAAACACTTTATTTCATGAAGGTAACATATTGAGAAATACATTCTTATTTATAATATGGCCTTCAATTAAACAAGATAAAGAAAATCACAAATATGTACACATATCAAAAATATAGACAAAAACCATACAAATCGACAGACACATGCATACATCAGATTCATTTAAATTGTATATCAAGTAAATATTTTTTTATATTTCTTTTAAAAGCATATAAGGACGAAGACTAACTCTTTAATATTATAAATGTAAATTAGTCCATACTTGCATAGCATTATGTCTAAAGTTTTTTTTTACATATTTTGTATTAATTAGCTCTTACATGTATTATATTTCATATATTTGTATATGTTTCATTTTTCGAGAACACTAGGATATCTGAAATGTAGCAATTAGTCAGATTTAAATACTAATAATGCTGTATGATACGTGCATCTATTTTCAAAAATAAAAGAAAAAAAAATGTTAAAATGGCATTTTAACTAATTTACACAATATTATCTTTGCTGCGCTTTTCTGCAGTTAATTCACTTGTTCAAAATCAGTTTTATTACAAGTACTCTATATACTACAACAATAATCAAAACAAGGTAAAATATAGGCATTGTAAAACATTTCTTTCATTTCAGCGGATAAAAAGTATGATATACGTTTTAAGAGAGCAATTTGTTTTGGTAATTTATAACATACGTACTTTATTTGAACATTCCATTTTAAGTTTTAATCTATGTAAATACCGATTTCGTTTGACCTAGGCTTGTACCTTTTATATTTATTATTACTTATTGCCATGTTGTGAAAGTTTACACCATTTAATTACACCATAATTTTATCTTATGTAACAATATATTGTGATCTACCAAATCAAATGCCTCCTAGCTTTTGGTCTGAAAATACTGTG